AACAATAATAAAAACAACTGTTCTTTAACTGTTTTTAATTCTTCATGGGACGTTCTGAAGTTCTTACGTACAGAAACGTGCTACGTCACTACGTACCTCGTGAATGTTTTGTATTACTGTACGTAAACGTCCTTCGTGAATAGCTCGAATCTCTTCGGGAACCCGAAGCAGCGTGGGCTGTGGATGTGGCAGTGTGCACTGACGGATTTACTACGTGTCTCCTCTCCGCTGAACGCAGTCACTGGCGTGAGAAGTTGTTTTTTGTAGCTCCTCGTCCTGTCAGGTAACGAGTCATTTCCTAAAAACTTTCTTCCGCTAATTGTTTTGAAATGGCAGCTCAAAATGAGCTAAAGCTAACCATCAGCTAGCTAGCTACAGGCACATTGTTTTGACAGCATTTGCAACGCAGCATCATCTATTTTTCACTCAAACAACAATTAAATCAAGTAAATGTTTTAAGTTGAGTTGTGTAAGACATTTAGCTTTGATATATTAGCTGAAGGGGTTTGTGAGCTAACTAAAGTGTGTCAAGTTTAAAGAAGAAACTATGACAACATCATGATTAAAACTTGACAGAGATCAGATGTGATTTGCTCTCACTCTGCAGTCCAGATCTTTTATTTCCTTTAAACTATTTGAGATGTAGATGATTTAGATCCGTGTTTTTATGAGAGTGCTGCTGATTTCTGATGAGGTTGCAGTGGCCTGACTTTGGTTCTGTGTGTTTTTCCTCTGATCCTCAGGTGTCGGTGCCATGTTTGCCAGGCTGGCCTCGTGCTCTCGCCTGCCATCTAAACTCCGGCTGACAAACATCTGTCTAACATCCAGCAGAACGTTCTCCCAGACTAAATGCAAGTTACCGTTTAAATCTCACAGTCGTGACATCCTTACAGTCTCAGGCCAACTCTTCAGACCTGGCACCAGCATCAGTTTTGAGTCCAACCTAAAGAGGAACTCATCATGAAGCGTCCTGACCCACTCTTATTAAAACACTCCTACCGAGATGAACACTTTTATACAAGTATCATCAGAATATTGAAGGATGGCTGTTAAAACTATCGTTAATCAGCTGGCAGCTGAAGAGGTCTTCAGACGGCTGTTCTGGGATTGACACGGCACATCACAGTGACGGCTGAGCTGACTTGTCTTCAGTCAGATCACCAAATGTCTGTAGATAAAAGTGGTCCAGACCACCTCTAAAGGTGTTGAAGACCTCCTCAACGTGCTCTGATTCTGTTCACTCGCTCAAAGTCAAGAGTTTTGCAATGCATTGTGGTCCAGACGGGTTCATGCCTACATCTGGATCTTTAACTCCGAATCAAATTTTTATTTGTTGTTTGTGTATATTTTATATTTGTTATTGTCACTGACCACAAATTATTATTGGTACATATTATTCCAAAGTTTGATGTTTCAGCTGCTCTGCAGTCATTTTGACTCTCAGCGCGTTGAGGACATTTCACTGTTGCAACGTAAAATACTAATAACACAAATTTATAATTACATTTTTATATAAACGTCAGTAAAAAGCTGGTGTAAAGGACCAAAACACTAGAGTTCAACGCCAAATTTGAATACAGTAGTCCCTCGTTTATTGTAGGGATCCGTACCCTGAAGTACAAGTAATAGTAGTTTATCTATTTATCTATCTATCTATATCTATCTATATCTATCTATCTATCTGTCTGTCTCTATGTCTCTATCTATCTATGTCTCTATCTATCTGTCTCTATGTCTCTATCTATCTGTCTCT